CTATCTGTTTCGTTTCCGTACGAGTGTCCGACGCGTAATCTTACGATCGACTTTTTCGAAAATACTTGTTGTCGTTAGACCTCGGTACACGCGTCGTACCGAGCCCCGTCCGTTATTGTACCATCGCGCCGACCAGTTTTGAATGCGTTTCTTTTTGTTTCCGGCCGAATTTCAAATTTATTTCTTGTCCTTTTCTTTCGCTACGCGAGAAGTGATCGCGTTGTCGGATTACCCGCGCTTAGTAGCGTCGACTCAATCTTCTCACTTCCGTATTTTTCTTACCGAACTGTATTATCTTTTTTTTCTTTCTCCGTCGTTTCTTACCGCCCCTTTTAGGCGGGTAATAAACAACCTCGTTATTATTGTTATTAATGGAGTACGAATTCTTTTGCCCGCCCCGCGCCATCTTATCGCCCTTAGCCTAACTCGCCCTTTGGCCTCGCCCTGCCCCTTTGCTGTTAGGTAGAGCCGGCCGGTCCTCGTGCGATCGACTTCGGGAGCGGCGTTTGATAGTCGAGCGTCGTCGCGTGTAAAGATTTCCTTCGCGCTATCGCGTAATCGTTGCGTTTCGCGAGCGACGTGACCTAGAGCACGTCTGGCGCCCAGGTTTCGCGTCGCCGTCCCTTGTCGGTCGCCGGAGGGACACATCCTGGAGGGCTGCCACCTTCCCTCCCCGAAATCGTTCGCGGTTTCCTCCCTATCGTTTGATCCGTGCTCGCGCGAATTACTTATCTCACGGGAGCACGTGACAAAATTTGGCGCCCAACGTGGGGCCCTTAAACTGAAGGGCGAAAGATAGTTTTTCTTTTCTTGCGATTGGATGGTGGCTTGGCAAAAGAATTTGGGACCTGACGAAATTTATTCTGTTTTTCTGTTTTAATGTTTTGTTGTCTGTAGTTAGTATATTTGTGTGTGTTGCCCGAATTTATATTTTTCTTATGCTGATCGCTTTTATCGTGTACTTTTGCCACGGCTTTCGCGAATGTGCTTCCGGGATTCGGTGAAGACGCTTGTTTGGGTGAGAGCTTTTTCTTGATTTTTTTTTCTGACGCGAATGCCTTTGCGCGGTGGAATTTTGCGGTGTCGTAAACATTAGTAGCGAAGACTCGATTCCCTCGAAAAGCGAGCGTGACGAATAAGGGGACGCGCATATTTTCGTGGAAATACTTGTTTGTCTGTTGCGACCGGGGAATCGTGCACGCTCGCACGGCTGTTTTCGACGCGTGATTTTGGGGGGAGGTAAGTGTTTGTCGGAAATACCAGGTGTCGAATAGAGAGTGTCGGACGACCGTATGAGCCAATTTAGCCCACCCGACGAACGAGTTTATTTGGCGGACCGCGAACAACTAGTTAACGAATTGCGTCGACATAATTTGCCAACGGACGGATCGAATTCGGTTCTGGTGCTTCGGTTATTGCGTCGCGTACGAACAACGCGTGGTGTTTTCGAGCGCGCGGGAATCAGCGAGATCGACGAGATGTCTCGGAGCACTTGGAACTGCCCGAGGGTGGCCCGGCTCGCCCGGACAGCCCATTTGAGGAGATGAGGCTCCGACCACAGTTCCCGCGTGCGGGCCCGGCGGATCCGCCGCGAGGCGGGGAACCACCGCCACCGACCTGGACGGGGAAAAACTCGGCAGCCGCGGTATACAAATTAATGAGAGGGTGGAATTTAAAGTTTTCGGGTACTCGCGGAGAGGAGGCCGAAATGTTCCTCCTGCAGATCGAGGAGGGGATCGTGCCGGCCGCGGACGCGGACGTTCTACAATGCATTCCTCTCTTTCTAACGGGCATCGCGCTGCATTGGTTTCGGGCGAAGCGCGACCGATTTGACGTGGGATGATTTTACGACTGCTTGGCGTAAGCGTTTCGGGGATCCCGATTACCAATTCGCGCTGTTAGAGCAGATCACGCGGCGTAAGCAGGGGGAAGACGAGTCGGTGTTGGACTATCTGACCTGTTTAAATGCCCTTTTCAATCGGTTATCGCTGCCGTGGAACGACGCGAGGAAAGCGGCCTACGC